ATGACAGGGCACGGTGTGTGCCGTGTGAACCTGCCAGGGACGCTGCCAGTTTTCACAGACATCTAATTTCCTTCCCCATCACCTTTGCAGAGACTGCACTAACGGGCTGTTTGGAAGGGGAGAGCGTTATTGATCTCCCTCAACTCTGCGTTTCATCAGAACAGACCTCTGGGCACGAAGCCAACCCTCGGAACATTCGCAGCTCTTCACGGAGCGGCAAAAGGTACCGATGCCACAGCTCCGGGGGATTATGGATGTGTTTTGTGGATGGCTAATGACACCATTACACAGCTACTTCGTGTTGTTCAAATGGAGATGATGATCCTCCTAACGTTTGGTTCCTGGCTGAGCAGCTCTCCCCCTGCTCCAGCCACTTTTGTCTGACACATCATAAAAAAAAAATACAATAAATTTACATTTATTCTTGCCAATGTCCTCCACCTTCAAGAAGGATTCATCAGGAAAGAATGGTATTTCCATAGCAACAAGGACTTTTTTTTTTTTTTTCAGATGGCTGTAAAACTGGTGAATTTCCAAGGCACAAAAGCTTGTTCAGAGCCCAGAAGTACCTGGATGGAAAACAAAACAGATGGTAAATTCTCTACAGTTTTTTTTTTTCAGTATCATTTCTCTTTTTTTGCCAGTTATCCTCCACTTTCCCCTATGTCCTAAATGTTTGCTTTACACTGAGTTTATGACCCGTGACAGATCCGAGATGTTGCTCAGTGGAGCTGGAATTCAGCACCACCACCTTCCCAGGACCAGCTGAGCTGTGAGGGACGGGGCAGTTTTGAGCTGCTCTGAAAATCAGTGTTTTCCTTTAGATTCCCAGCCCTAGGAAACATTTCTTGATATTGTTCTGCAGACTGATGTTTTATAAAGTTGGGGAGCTGTGACAATGGGAACTCAGCAAGCACAAAGTCCCTGCCTTGTAAATGCTGTCTAAGGATGCACCTTCCTGGAGTTACAGTTCAGTGATGTTCAGGAGGAAGAGGGAGAAAGAAGTCTTAAGTAATATACATTTTTTTTCTTTTTTTCTTTTTTTTTCTTTTTTAATTTCCATTCTTCTTTCCATCACCTTTTGTTGTTTTTCACGAGGTGAAAATTGAAGGCTTGACATAAAGGAATGACAAGGGTGTTCGTGGTGTCAAGCTCTCATCTTGCTTCTTATAATTTAAATAGAAGCAAAGAATTGGGAGAACCTTCCCTGCACAACTTCAGGAAACCCAGGACTGCTGGGTCCTGACAGTTCCCTCTGGTTTTGTGTTACACCTTTGGGAATGTAAATTATGCCTGCAGGTTAATTTCTGCATTCATTTTCTGGTCCTTAAGCTGCTTTTCAACGTGTTTTAATGCACAAAAAGTGATTTGCTGCATCTAGGAAGGATACTGAGAGGGGACCGGAGGGAACTTGACTTTATTTTTTGATGGAGTTTGCCAGTATCAAATTTTCATTTGTAACCAGCACATTCTCAGTTGTAAACCCCTTTTCTTGAGCATATCCATTGTCACTTAAATGGGCCATTTTATGACTTCCATTTGCCAAATGCCTGCAGGGGAAATAATAACTACAGTTAAACCAGCATATAGTTACAATATGGTCTGAGCATGTGTTTGAAAATGAAATACCACGTCTCAAGTGGAAGAACTTAAAACCACACACTATTTCAAATGTTACTGTCAATGGTTATTTCTGCTGGGTCCTTACAGGTAATGCATCTTACACATATAAAAACCATATAAAATCTGAGGTAGATCTTCTCCTTGTAGTTTAGGGTTGGGATTTCAGAAAGCATTTTACTAAGCTGGACAGGGGCCTGTGGTGGCTGATCCTGAGTCCTGACCACACTTCCAATGCCAAGGGAGAAATGCAGCCTGTTCTTCATCACCCAAAGGTGGATATTGGGGAGTGAGTTTGAAAAGGGAAAAATAGAAGTTATTTCTTCATTCAGTGGAGAAGAATGGATCCCAGGTTCCCATAGCAAACACAGCAGAAGTCTGTTAGGTTGCATTGTTTATTATCTCAGATTTAACTGATCTCCAGCCAGTCCTTCTGCTGGGATCTTTCAAGCATTAAAACAAACAGGTACTTCTACTGGAATAATTTTCAGAGAGAATCCTGACCCCTCATCCCAGCTTTCCTCGTTCTCCACTCAGAGACAGTTCAAGTCCCTCGTTACTGTGGTAGAGTTTGGCACTGATGAACTGGGGAATAATAATCACATATTCTTTCTTCATTTCCCTACTATAAGGCAGCATTTTGGGGACTTTATTACAGCACTATGTGATGGCAATCAGGAAATGGGTGCTCAGGGGAGGCAAGAAATCCCTACGCCCTCCCATAATAACATTTTTAACAATATGCCTTTAATGACAAAAATTCCTGCTGTTTTATGATGTGAAAACTGAGGTGTTTCTTAAATGATGACTTTGAGTCAGATCATTTGTAGGAGATGCAAATGGGTGCCATACAGAGAAGAGACATTCCTATTTTTACTGATTACACAAGTGGTATTTTTATTAGGGTCTTCAGAAATGAATTATGGAAAGTCTTGGGCGAGGAAAGGCATTTAGAGAACTGTGTAGCAGTTTCACTGTAATATCCATGGTGTGTTTAGCTTTTTCTCGTTCAAATAAATAAGAAGTGCCAGGAAGGTCAGTTAAATTGATAAAAATATGGAATTGTTAATGTTCTGTGACATTATCTATGGCTGTGGTATTTTCTAATGCCAAGGACATTTAGCAGCTGATGAAAACCCAAAGTTCACAGTAATGATTAGCATTAAGTAAATTCTCCTTTCCTTTGCCTGTATAGACCTCATGCCTTTTTTTTGGGGGGGGAGTGCTGGAAAAGACCACGAGGTATGAGAGGGATGGAATAATCACATAAAGCAAGCAAGATGTAATTCCTGAAATTAAAATCTCATTAGGAATAGTTAAGCACTGTTTTTATCCATTAACTGCTAAAAAAGATGAGAAAACTTGAATTTCCGAATAAAAAAATCTGTTTCTAGGACAGCTTGTTCTTTGCCCATGCAATAATCATCTGCTCATCTTAATGCAACTACCAAGGAGATGCATTTGAAATCCATATTGATTAATTCAGGCCCGCTGTGACCTGGTATCTAACTCTTTCTTTTGTCAGCTTGCTGGAACTGGAAGCAAATATCTGATCTGGAATGATTTTTACATGAATTTTTTAACAGCGAGACCTTCACTTGTATTTACCTGCAGGACCAACGTTTTAGTCTCTCACTCTGGCCTGCCAGCAGAGGTGATTCATTTCTGCTGCTTTTTGGGGGAAAAAAAAAGGACTCCAGTGAAGCTCTTCTACATTGGGAGCATTTTTTCATTTTTTTTTTCCTTTCTTTATTTTTATTCTTAATCCAGCAGCTGGTTTTATATTTGCTTGTTTATTTGCTGAATTCTTTTTAGACACAAGGTGTGCCTTTTCCTTCTTTATCTGGAGTATTGTCACCAACTTCCTGATGGATGTTCCATCTTGCCTTTGCCTGGTAACGCTCCCACAACCAGACTACAACATTGACACTGTAAAGACATCTCTGTTTAGAGCCAGATATCAAACATTTGCTGATTGCTGACCTAAATTCTGGTGGAGCCATGACCAAGGGTGTCATTTGAACACGGATGTTAAAATGACACCTCTTTATGTAGTTGTGAGGCACTAAGTGCTTTTTTTTTTGGTGGGATTTTACATGGAGAGAGGGCTCACTTTTGGGATACCAATGTTTACAGTGATCACATTCAATCATGGCTTTCTGTCAATAGTTTTCTATGAAAAGTACAGCAAGGGATGTGGTAAAAAGCTTTGGCATCTGCAGCAGAATTTGGGCAGACCTGAGATACCTCAAGTCCAACAATCATAAAGTAAAAACACAGAAACCCAACTCTGTTTGGAGGTCAAAAATGTTTGAGTCCTCTTTGATTGAGATGATCCAGAGAAAAAGTTTCCCCTTTTTTTGGAGGGATATGGAGGATAGTTTTGACAGGTGGATATATTAACAGCTGTAGTTCTTAAAATGAGAATAAGAGAGAAATTCTTATGCAGAATGAAAGAATTTGCACCATCATTGTTTCAGAGCTGCTCCCTGAGATGTTTTCCTCCCCCATCCATTGTCTCTGCCCTTAAAAAGCTTATCCAGAGCTCCAGACACCTCTCCAGGAGCTCTGTGCCTACAGGGAAATGAGCAGTCCTGTTATCAAATTAATGAAGGAGAGAAAGCTTTACAAAGTTTACATCTTGTGAACTTGGATAGAACTAATAAAAGCCATTTCTCCAGACTTTCTGAATTCTACAGGCCTGCTGAAAGCAATTCAAGGATTTCACAGAACCACAGGATGGTCTGGGTAGGAAGGGACATTGAAGATCGTCTCATTCCAACCCCCCTGCCATGGGCAGGGACACCTTCCACCAGCCCAGGTTGCTCCAAGCCCCGTCCAACCTGGCCTTGGACACTTCCAGGGATCCAGGGGCAGCCACAGCTCCTTTGGGCAACCTGTGCCAGGGCCTGCCCACCCTCTCAGGAGAGAATTTCTTCCTCATATCCACTCTAACCCTCCTCTCCTTATTACAGAACTTGCAGAAGTTTTTTTATAATGCAAACTTTCCCAGCAACTTGAGCACAGGAACAAGGTGAGTTCTTTTTTTAACACAACAAAGATTTCAGGAGGCACAAATCAGTTGTGCTCCATCACCTTTTCTGACCCACCTGCAGCGAGTTCAGTGACTCCAGTCAGGTCTTGCTGCTGATCACAGTTACTCAGCAAATTAGAAATGATGGCAATATGACATGTGCTCCTAAGAGCTCATATCCCTGCCAGCCCAGAAAAAACAGGAGCTGAGCTTTTGATTTTTTTGGTATTTTCAATAAGCCATCACAGTGCTTCAGCAACAAAAGGAATTTAATACAAGCAGACCAAATCATCCTTATCACATTTTGCACATACCCCACTAAAACTGCAAAGTTTTGCTAGATGGAATTATTTTAACGATGATATTAAAAGTTCTCCTCTAGAGAAGTATCTCTCCCCCCCCTACAGAGGTGCTAAACAAGCAATATTTCCTCATATTTGTAAGCAATTCCAGTGAAAGTTCTTTAAAAGATGATATGTTGGCATTCTGGCTCTAAAATTGGACTGTGATCTGCATTGCTTTTTGTGTCTTATTATTTTGGAGATGGGAAATGGCTGAACTATTTCTCCCAGGGCTGTGGGAAATGATTTGGTGTTGCTGTTAAAGCTAATCATTATTCACATATAAACTGCCCCTTTTACTGTTTCTCAGATCCAATTTTCGAAGCAAATATTGATGATGACACCGAAATAACTTGGCAAGGCTCTCCAGAAGCTCTGCAGAGCCATTACAGGGATAAATTGCAGAACTGAGGGGCACTCGGTAACCATGTCAAGGGAATGTCAGGAGATAAAGTTCAGTCGAGGATTTCTCAGCCTTTCTCAATCTTTCTAGGAAGTTTGTGCGTTGTTATTGTAACCAAATTCATCCAGAATGGGGAAGAAACTGGGATGCTCCAGCTGTGGAAATGGAAGGAAAAGGTTATTAACCATTTCAAAGGACAGAATTTCTCAGTTGAGTTGAGGTAAATGCTGCCCTGAAAAAGCCAAGCCCTGTATTAACAGGAAGCCGTGGGAAGGCAGCGAGACTCCAAATGGCCACGTGAAAACTTGGGATCTCAGGAAAGCAAAGCAGTGCTGTGAGGCTGAGGGAGAGAAGAATGGATGCCAGGTGAGTTTAGACTCACATCTGTATAACCTTGGGCATTTAAAAATGGGTCATCACAGATCAGTAACTGGGGAGGAGAAGCAAAGCAAATTCAGCTCAGCCTTCCATAAAAACCCAGCTGCCAATCCCTGTGTACCCAGGAAGGATCCATCTGTTTGGATACAGTGCTGACATGGAAATGTTTAGGATGATGCTCCATCTCATGATGGAAAATAGGTGTTTTTTGTGCTGAACATGATGGCAAACCCCCCTCTCCAATGGATATCCCTGTGCTCACCCTGCCATCCTGCTCTTCACACCCATTCCCTGCTGAAAACCTTCATGGAAAGGCCTTTCATATCCAGGCTCCTCTGAGGTTTGGGCACAAGGCACCACTTTCAGTTATGATGGAGAAGCTTTTGAGTGAAAGTGAGGGAAGATCCTGGCAGAGGTGGAATTTCAGAGTGCTAAAACTTCCAGGCAATGCTTGTAACCCGACCTCACCCTGTGATCAGTGAGGAACTCTGTCATCTTCACTAGAATATCTGCACACAAACAAGAGTTATGTCTGCTCTTTGCTACACTTTGGGGAGGGGGAAAAAGCCATTTCTATTTTTAAAATTGCAAATGCCTCAATGCATGAACACTCTTCTGTGTGAGAAGCAAAGACTGTCTGCAGACCCAGGCAGACACATCATCAGACAAAGGAAAATGGTTGTGTTGGCTCTGGCTGTGAAACAGCAACTGAATGGTTAAGTTTATTTATAATTTCTTAAGCCTTTTTAGCACATCTATAACTTAATTTGCCTTGTACAGACACGAGCAAAGGCTGCTGTTTCCCTTTTTCTGATATTTTCTTTTCTTTTCTTAGGGCTTTGCATTAAAGCCACTTTAATCTTTGTAGATAAATCTTCAGGTTTTCAATTTTTTTTTCTCTCTGAAGACTCCAGCTGCCTTAAGTCTTTCCATTTCCTCATGTTTAAATATTTTAGACAATTTGAAGCCCTATTTATAAATGGATATCATTAAGATTAGGCTCTAATAAGTGCTAATCTTTCCCTCCAACCAGGGAGCAAAGCCTATCTTAAACCTGAATGGCTTAAGACAAGTTCATTTTTTTTTTTATCCTTATAAAGTGAACAAATAAAACACTACCCAGCAGCTGCATTCAGGGGAAGCACTGGACATAATCCCTTCCATTTATTACTGAAAAGTGCTTCTCTTTTTAGGTATCAACCTCCTTTTACCTTCAGATGTGGAGGCTGCAGGTTGTGGACCCACTTGAAACTTGGTGGTGAAACCTGAGCTCACCTGATCTTGCAAAAAATTTCGCATCTTAAAAAATTTCCCATCTTAAATGGGATCTGCTGTCACTAAAGGAATAATATCTGATTGGTAGCTTTGATTCCATACATGTATCTGCAGGCAAAAATACTGGAGGAAGAAGGAAAACTGGGCTCTTGCTGTATTGACAAAATGGAGCAAATAATTCACCCCTAATAAGTAACACAATCTCCTCTTGAGGACTAAAAATACCCTGCTTTTATTGGAAGTGTATTAGTGGCCATGGTAAGTCATCAGGTAAGTAAAATGATGTCGCTTCTATTTTTGACTGGTTATAAGAATAAGCAGTTCCAGACCAAATTAAAAGTCCATTTCCTGCAAATACTGGTTTATGAGATCTTAAAACTGGCTTTTGGTAAATGGTCATGGAAGTGGAATTTGAACTGCACGGCTATTTGTGGGAAGTGATCAAAGGCAGCTTGGGAAAAAAATGAAATTATATTTCCTGATCCTTCTTCATTTCCAGTGTTAACATAACTCACAGCTCTGCAACCTCAGGGAGCTTGAAATCTTAATCTGGAACCTCACCTTGAAAGACATTTAAGGGGTTGCAAATCAAAGAAGGAAGGTGGGTTGGAACAAACCCCTCCAAGTCAGCCTTGGTCAGTTGGTCCCTCAGTCACTTCTGTGCTCAGCTGTTCCAAAGGGAGTTTTAAATCCAGAGTTTCCTAAACAGTTAAAAATATTTTAATAGGGTTGACAAACCCCACGAGGCTCATAAATCTGCTCTCCTTGTTGTCAGGAGCAGCTGGAGAACAAAGGAAGAGAAGAGCAACAGGAAGAGCCCTAAGAAACACAGAAGGTTTATAACTTATAGCACAACTCCACCAGATGGATTTGAGCTGAATTTCAGTTGTTCTTTTCCTTATAAACTTTGCATTTACTTTCAGTAAAAAGTGACTTTGGTAGAAATTGGGCACGCCCTCATTAATTTTGTGGGATCTACGTTTGTGAAAGCTGATTGCAAAAATAGGAAATTGTGTTTATGAAAATCAGATCTAAGTAAATAAAATAAAAAAAATAGAACTGAACACCAGAGGAGGCATAAAATGGCTGAAAGTTAAAAAATCTAATTATAAATATGCCACCATCACTCCTGCATGATTTCATCTGCCATGTATGTAAATCTAATGGGCCAAACCTCAACAAAACAGGCTCTTGATACTCTTCCAGCTGCAGCACTTGATCCAAAGCTTACAGAGTCACTTTGAATCATTTAAGTTTTGGAAGCTGAATGCCAGTTTTTCTGCAGAAAATTATTTTACATCTAAAACTGCATTTTTCCTGGTGGAAACTTTGTGATTAATCTGGAGTATTGTAACATAATTTATATAGAACACCGTATTTCTTCTACATTCTTTAAAAATGACAGGTATGTATGTCCAATGAGGTGCCTTTCAGGAAGGCATTATTATAGAATATTAAAAACCATATTCCTGTGGCTACAAAGAAAATGGTTTTCCAACAGGAAAGAAGATGTTTAAAAACTACAAACCAAGACTCCAAATAAGCTCCAGAACACAGAATATTTGCAGATTATGATACACAGTGTGGAAACTCCAGCTCCTTCTCAAGATCAAAAAAAAAATCCATAAATCCATATGTGTTTCCACAGGCTCTCCACACAAGTTGCCTGTCAGGGTAAAATCTTGAAAACTGCACTGTAACCAGGATGATGAAGGAAAATTACTGCCAGACAGATTACACAGTCAAGAAAAACGGTGTAAGTTATTTTTTTGCCTCCTAGCTTGCATACATATGGGACAAATGCAAATTTGCCAAATGAAATACAGCTCAGAGTGCATACATTTCAAACAGATAATACTTTGTACTTATTAAAGCTTGGCTTGGATCACAGAGAGCTTTTCCCTGAAACGCCAGCTTTTTTTGTGGTTTTTTTTTTTTTTTTTTTTTTTGCAAAGATTGTTTTTCCCTAAAGCAGCATCAATTATAAACAATGGTGTAGCCACCAAAACTGGGAGGACAAGACTCGAAGCAGATGAACTGAAACAATCTGAGTGATAAAAACTTTAATCTTGCCATGCACTCCAGGTATCCTTTGAGGGGATGGGAGTTATTGTTTATTGGCAGATATATAAATACCTGCTCTGGAAGAGGCAAGACATGTGCACAGATCTACAACTGCACATATCTACAGGGTGGGCATAAAAAGAGCTTCTCTGAAAAGTTAAACATCACAAGGAGCCCTGTGTAACTCTGGGTCCTGAGCACCAGCTAAAGGTTTGTGTGGATAATGGGATAACTGGTATGAAAAGCTGTTTGAAGGCTCCTTGCACTCAGTTGATTTAGATTTAGCTGCTTAAAGCGTGGCACTAAATCAGCAGGGAGAGTATATTGGTTCTTCCAGAGACAAAATCGTGAATAAATAATAAGTTAGAATGAAAACAGAAGAGCCCGGACTCAAAGATAAACAGAGGTGTGTTTTGCAGTGCTTTGGGAATAAAGGTTGAAAGGGGATGGGAAGTGGCTTATAAAAAGGAGGGAGAGACTTTTTATAAGGGCAGACAGTGACAGGACAAGGGGCAATGGTTTTAAACTGAAAGAAGGCAGGTTTAGATTAGATGTCAGGAATAAATTCTTTACTCAGAGGGTGGTGAGACACAGGAACTCAGGTTGCCCACAGAAGCTGTGGCTGCCCCATCCCTGGAAGTGTCCAAGGCCAGGTTGGATGGGGTTTGGAGCAACCTGGGCTAGTGGGAGGTGTCCCTGCCCATGGCAGGACTCTGGAACTAGATCAGCTTTAAGGCCTCTTACAACCCAAACCATTCTGGGATTTTATGGTTCCGTGAAATCCTTTAATTGCTTACAGGGAGGACGAGCAGTAAAATTTGAGGTCATTCCCCCTTTCCATGCTTTCCAGGGCATCCCCTCCCATTTCTGCTGCGGGGAACGCACTTCACACAAGCAGCGGTGTGAGAGCACCAGCCATGTATTTTTGTTTTCAGTGGGTAAAAAACCTTTTGCACTTATTGTGGGGAAAAAACCAGTGTAAATAAAGTATGTCCTGAAAGCTCAGCGGGTGGAAGTGCTGTGTGTTGCTGTGTCTCAGGGTCTGGGGGGTCTCACTCTGGTGTCTCCTGGCGGTGTGTGATGCAGCAGCACTGAGTCTCCTGGATGCACAGGGATTTTAAGGATGAGCTTTAAAGCCAGTGAGTGAAAAGCTGAGCCTTGTCCAGGGTGGGAGCACCAAGGTCTGGGCTTTGCATCCCTTCAGTGATGGAGCTCTTGGACCACCACGAACACATTGCTGGGATGGAAATGATGGAGCAGCCCCCGGACCCCTGAGGGACTGAGCTCACAAGAGGCCTTCTGGGCCCCGGGGTTTAATTTTTTTACATCTTATGAGAAACAGCTGAGGGACCTGGGTGTATTTAATCTGGAGAAGAGGAGGCTCAGGAGGGATCTCATTGTTTTCCACAGCTAGCTGAGAGCAGGTTGTGGTCGGGCCATGGCAGATCTCTTCTGCCGCGCCTGCAGTGAGAGGACCAGAGGAAAAGGCCTCAAGCTGAGGCAGGAAAGATTCACATTTTAGGTATTAGATAAAAATATTTCCCTGTTGGGGTGTTCAAGCTTGGAATGGGTTGCCCAGGGAGGTGTTGGGAGTCGCCATCCCTGGAGTTGTCCATGAAGAGTGGGATCTGGCGCTGGGCGATGTGCTTTAGGGGTCACAGTGTGGTGGGCGGCTGGACTGGATGATTTCAAAGAACTCTTCAACCCTGACAATTTTACCACTCCACAAATTTAGCCGAAGGCGTTCGCGGCCCCACAGCGCCTCGCTGCGCTCCCACAGGGCGGCCGCTCCCCTCAGCCCCGCACGGAATGGCCTCTCCCGTGTCCCCCCCCGCGGAGCCGAATGGGCTGTCCCGCGGCCCGCGCTGCCATGGGAACGGCGGCGGCGGGATCGGGGTTGGAACCGGGAGCGGGACCGGGATCGGGATCTTCCCCGCGGGGCTGAGCCCTCACAGCCGGCGGGGGGGACCCTGGAGCTTCCCCTCAGCCAGCGCGTCCCGCCCAGGGCTGAGGGAGCGCCTGGGACAGGGGGAAGTGCCCCCAAATCGTCCCCGCGCACCCGGACTTGGTGTTCACCCCCCTCACTGCTCTTTATTCTTCCCCCTCACGGCTCTGTAGGTTTAGGTTACAGTTCTGGGCACTTCTTTGTTCCCTGCGCTTCCCACCTTTCATCACTCTGGGAAAACTGAGCCCTCGGTAACGCAATAAAAAGCCCAACCCCGCTGCTCTGCTGTGGGGGTTTTTACATCTTTATTTTCTGCCTGACCCTGTGCGCTCTGTGTTTCCCTAGGGCTGAGTTTTCCTTCCGGACAGACTGCTCCGCACACAGTAAAGTCTGAGAGAAGCTTTGGAGGCAAGTACCGACTCTGCTCCGCTTATTCCATAAATTTATTTATTTGTTGCCCCACCTGCTGCTCCCCCTGCTCTGCTTCCTCTGGGCGGATTCTGCAGCTCACAGGGCACTTACTGTAGCTGTACAGTGTGGATAAGGAGGCATTTATCTCCACAAACACTCTTGGTAATGTGTTTTTTTTTTCTTTTTTAGTAGACTGCTTGGAGAGACAGAAACTGTTCTCGAGGCGATTCCATTGGCGTACCTGACTGCTGGACTTGGACTGGCAGATTAACGAGGCAATCAAAGTTCGAGTGGTGGGGTTTTTTCTTTCCTTTTTTTTTTTTTTTTTTTTCTTAAATATCACTCTTTTTCACTGTTTATTTCTTTTATTTTTTTAAACTAGCTAAATATTTGAAAGGGCCTCAAGGCTGAGGGTCTCCGTTGTTGTAGTTAACAGCAAATGGGTGGGGAGCAGTGACAGGCAAATTCTTTATTACGCTTAGAATTCTTCTTCAAAGGGAAGAGTTGGGTTTGAATTATCTGGTAAGTGGATAGGACTCAGTGTAGCATGAAATCTGTGTTCATGGTTACAATAATTGGATGTGAGCTATTACATATACAGTAGTATCCCTTTGGATTTTATGGGTTTATTGATGTGAGAAAGCTGTTGGAATTTAGTCTGCTCTAGTTAAACTCTTGTAGTTTGAAATAAACTGCACCCATCTTGGGCTGTCTTTGAGTTATAAACCCATCCTTAAATTGATTGGGAAGAAATGTGAGCTAAGCTGAGATACAGGGTATGTGGAATTTGGGTTCATTTAGCTATGCAGGCTTTAAAGTTAAATTAAATTTCATTTACTCAAAACACCAGTGTTTGTTTTGTTCAGTGGCACTTTATATCCATTAGCACAGAGGAACCTGCTAGAATGATGAAATTTGAGTACAGGGTGTGTAGAAGAGCAGGCAGAAGGGATGTGGCTAATTAACGCTTGATTTATTTACCTTGATGAGTTGCTTTACTGTTTGCCTCACTGGCAAATTGTGCTACCTATTAGTGAGAGAAAAAGGATTCATTAAACAAAAAGCAGACAGAAAAAAAAGGAACTCCTGTCTGTATTTAAATAACGAGTCTGTGGCTGAGGAGTTTGGGGTTGCCTTTGGTGGACTTCCCTGTCAGTCCTGAGTGCCCATCCCATGGATACTTCAGGATGTTTTACAAGCTGAGGGTGCCTATTTCCCTGTGGGGTTTGTTTAATTATTTGACTGCTACAGTCTCAGTGTTGAACAGCTCTTCTTGAAAAAATAAGATTGTGCTCTAATAGTTATTAAATAAATTCTTTTTTACTAATAAATATCCTTTGGTCTCCCTCAAACCCAGAGTGTTCCCTCCTCCTGTCCAGCTGCACCAGTCCTGCTAACACACATTTGCAAGAGGGGAACTTTCTTCTATTCAAAGTTAATAAAATCTTGTTTTATCTTAGAAGGTAATAAAAGAACAATTGTTCTGACCTGAAGTTAGGATTGAATGGTTTGTGTTTTTTTCTGACACAATAAGAAACGTGTTTTGTGCACACCTTCTGTCAGCACTGAAATGTTTGTTTGGGGCTCTGTGGCACCAGGTGTTTAACTATCTGCAGGATGCCATTGAGTGGTGCTTTGCCTCGTGGCTGGGGGTGTTGTTTGGCCACATCTTAACTATTAATGCTCATTTTCAGGCTGTTTGTGAACAGGCAGCAAAGCTGTTCCCCTTGAGCTCAGTTTTACATTTGATGTATTTCAAACCCAAACTTTTCCATGTCGTTGCAGTTTAGTGCTGCTTCCACTGGGCACTGGAGACCCAACAGCTGAAGGACAGTTGCCAAACACCCTGGGAGCTGTAAGTCTCTGCATTATCCTGGTTTTTTTCCCTATGCATCCCAGTAAATACTCAGTTTTGGCACTGAGCTCAGTCTGGTTATCCTGCCAATACTCCAGCCTGGGTCGGGTCTGGATGTTCAGTTTGGACTCTGTGCTGGCTGAACTTGCTTTTTGGAGGAGTATTTGACAACATAGGGAAAAAAATATATATTTGGAATACCATTGTCTTGAAGTCTGGAGAGTAGGGACTAACTCTGCTCTGTGAGTTCTTGTCTTCCTTTGTACCACTTTGTTGGTGACAGAAGGAATTTATCTTCCCAAGTCAGTTGAGATGATTTGGCTTCGTAGCCTTCTTTGTGCTTTCTGTGGGTTTGGTTCATTTTTGTTGTTTTATTTAATATTAAACTGCTTGCACTGAACTTTAGTTCAAATGAAAGACAAGAAAATCTTTTCCCTGGTATCATAAAAGTAATAAAAAGGTTTGGGTTTTTTTTTCCCAGTTAAATTTAATTTAGGGTTGCTCTAGGATTTTATTGGTACTTCATATAAACAAGTTCTGGGCTTCATTTTTCTCACCTATACGTGAATATTTTTGGATGTGTAATGAGTTTTTTACTGTTTTGATTTCATTTAAATTCCCATTTCAACAGGTAGATCACTGAAATTCTCTCCTTCAGAAGAAGCTATACGGGGTATCATGAACATCAATGATTTTGTGATACTCCCAGGCTCAAAAACTGGAACCTCAGTGAGATTAAAAACAAAGTAAGTGCATTCTGTCTGATTGGGACTGAGTTGTGTTGCCATAACTCTTAATAACTTCTAATGCAACATTAAATAGAAGACCTTATTTGTGCCCCAACAAGAAGAATCATTTTCTACCGTTTTCCCTGTGCTTTTGTCCTTAATCTTTTCTTAGGCTTTAATCTACTTTCTGATTGAGTTAAAGGTTTTATAACTCTGTATATCTAATATACGACACAAACAATACTGAAGAAGTCACTGGGATGGTTTATTTTAATATAATTAAACACCAAACCTTCCTGAGCACAGACACAGTTGTATGACTTTTGTGCTGGCCACTCTAAAGCTTATTTTGGAGTAGCCCTGTCACTGTCACAGCCCTTTTCCAGACTGTTTTCAGTCCTGATGGGAGATAGAAGAGTGACTTTTGCTGCTTTAAATTTCTTCAGGTACCTCACTCACC